CGCGCCCCTGGGCGCTGAGGCTCGTTATGGCTCGGCTCGGTGGATGAGGCGGGCTGGAGTGTGATGCGGGGAGGGGGTGATGTGGGTAGGGAATGAGCGGACCTGGGTCTGGGCGTGTGTGGTCACTTGTCGCATAGAACCGATCGTATCCGCCCTCCAAAAATTCGTTTTAGAGATATTCACAAAACCCATGGGGGGGGGGGCAACCACCCATCTCCCAAGTGGGGTGTGGAAGGACAGGTAAGGGTGCATACGGTCTCCTCATGAATTGCAGCAAAGAAAGAAAACAGGTCAGTCACCAAATGGTCTTTCTGAAAAGTGGACTAAACGCAAAGCCTCCCACCGAGAAATAAATATCCACCATCCGAAGCGTTTCGAACCGGGCCCCTCACTACCGGTCATTTTGACAGTCGAGCACTCCTACGCTGAGCTACACCGGATGGTGGCTGTGGCCGGGGCAAAGTCTGGCCGGGCGGGCGGCGGGGCCGGGAGGTCGGCGGCAAAGTCAATTAATGTTTTTGTGGGTTCGAGTGCCGGTCACTATAGCTTGGTGAAATGATGATGGATCATTGGCAAAATTTACAGCGTGGAGTCCCGGTTCGAGCCTCATCAGGGCTCCGGCTGCTTTTCCGAGTTAGGATGGTTTGATTGCTATTAGTGGTTGCGAGCCATTTATACGGTTTTATACATGTCGATTGATTGTTTGATTGATTGATTGATTCATTCATTCATTTAATGCGTGCCGACATTTAGCATACCGTAAAGTGGGGCTATTTGAGACAGTGGGGCTATTTGAGACAGTAAGGTAATGGTATAGTAAAATCGCTGTAAAATGAAAACCGTTTGATGTTTTTTCGTCATTTTTGCTTAGGCTGAAGTGGAATTGAACAATGAATGCTCTGAATAACTTTTTTTAAATTTCGAAAAGTTCTGAAAGAAATTTGCAATAAAATACGAAATACAGAAAAACGCACAATTTAAGTTGCTCGAAAAGGACCCCTACCTGCAGCTTAAAAAAGTTGAAGTTTTAACAGCTTCGCCACTGTATCTATCGTTACTACCTTTTTGCTTATAGGCTAAGCACATTTTTCATGAAAATATTATATATTGTTAACGGTACTGCCGATTGCGTAACCCATTGTCTCAGAATCCCGATGATGCCCACCTGGTCAAACCTCAACGGATATGCCAAATAGCTGATGACTAGGGTGACCCGCGTGCTCCGCAACGCGAAAAGGGGCATTTACGATCGGCGGGTGTTTGGTTTTCTTGTGTCGGTTGGGTTAGCTATCCATTTCGGTCGATTACTTTTTGACGGCTAAACGTTTTGGTTTGTGGAAAAAATATCCACCGCATCGAGGTGCCCGTGTCTGATAAGCATGCTTTCCACTTCAGAATCTGTCAAATGTGCTTTATAATTTAGGCGCGTAGTTTTAAGACAAATGAAAGGCGTAGATAATTTTCGCTAAAAATCGTTTTGCAGAGGTTTGAAACATTTTTTTTTTTAAGAATACTGTTGCTTGTCATGCAAACGTGATGATTGGATCTTGGAGAGAATTGAATGCTCTTTCTAATGATAGCATTTTCCATTGTCAAGCGTATCAGGTTAAGCAGCAAATCCCGTGTAACTTTTTAGTGGCACATTATGGACAAATACCATTTAATTCAGCGATTTTTTCCACATTGTTTTTGATCAATTAGCTGTTCACAATTTTTACATGAGAGGCGGTACATTTCTCTTGCCAATTGACGTTGTTTCAACTCTCTCAGTCTGATGGTCACGGGAAAATAAAATAAAATCCAAAATCCGTTTAAAACGGCACTTTTTGAAAGGAAATTGCCCTCACACTTGCACGTGGCGCGTGCCACCCCTGCACCGCACACTATTCGATTGCCCGTTCGATTCTCTACACGATGCTGTTTTCCCCGTGCCGATCGGGCGCACGGCTACCGAGATATTGCACGGGGAACGGACCCATGTCGGGCAAATTTAGCCATTTTCGCCCGTTTTTGCCAGCCGATTTATACATGTAAAGTCTATGACGCGAATTTGCACTTTTGGGGCCCGCGCCTAGCGCTCGCTATCGACCCGATCGAGCTGAGACCCCCCAAAAGCACGTTGTCCATCCTTGATCTATAAGTAGTGCGAATTTCAGCGCGGTAGGTGCAACGGTGTGACCTGTAACCCGCGCTACGTAGCACCATGAAAATAGCCCCACCCTATGGGGCTATTTGAGACAGGCTTTAACATAAAAAATAAAATGATTATTACTAGCTGAACCAAAATACACCTATATGAAAGACCTTACAGAGAACGACATTTTTGCAATTTACATGCTATAAGAAATATGAACCGTCTTAAAGGGAGAGGCCAAAAACTGTAAAATCCGTTTCAAATAGCCCCACTTTACGGTACGAATTGACATCCAGCATCAATCTACCGTTTTCATAAACGTATTGCCTAAATATCATGCATAGGCACAAGACCTATGGTTGCCTTGATAGTTGATACCGTGCCAAACCACGTTTTGCACAATGCACAAGTAAAGTAAATTATATTCGCTGGGTCTTCCGTGCATTGTGCTTATCAAAAACAGGAAGGCAATTGTTAAGCGACGCAAAATGTGCAATGCAAGAAGCGACCACACACACCCGACCAGCCCCCATGGTCCACCAACACGCCCCACACCACTCGCTAGCCCACGCCAACCACTGAGACGAGCCCCTCCCCTCGCGCTGGTCTGACGCAACAGCTGGTCTACAAAGCGCTCCACCCGGCGACCCGAGCCGATGTCAAACGGCGTGGGTAGACTGTGCCGCATGACTTTCGGGTCATGCGGCACAGCCTACCGGTACCAGGCGGCTGCTGCCAATGCTGAGCCATAGGAACCCGGTGGATAAAGAGTAGCGGACCATCAACCTGTACACGACTGTACTAGAGAAATGGGTCCAAAGCTGCTGGGGTCGGATAGGTTTCCGGATTTGAAAATGGGATGGACTGTGGAATGCTTTGGTCAGGGATGTCAGATTTCGAGATGCAGGTGTTAACGATGTGCTGTATGACGCTGCCAATAGCCTTAAAGGGAGATAATGAGCTTTCTTTTTTCTTAAATAAAAATTACTCGACATCTATACTATTTCTACTGAAGTTTCTATAAAATATGAAAATTTCCTAGCACATTTTCGTATGTGAAAAAGGTTTTTATTTTTGCAAAAAAGAAGCAGTACTTGCAGTACTTGTAACACCCACCGAAATGTGTTGTCCTTCTCTATAAAAAAGTCTCAGTATATGGCGCTTTTGTTTCAAACAGCGACGCTTGGGTTTTTGTTTATGTTATCGCCTTGTCGTTGCTTGGTTGTAAGGATTCTAATTTGAATTAGAGTTAATTCGGTTTAGAATAATTAGATTCTAATTCGGGGGTACATAGTGCCTGGAGAAATGACACTGTTTACATTATTTTGCGCCACAAATGAACGGCAAGCGCCAGAAACGCAGCCAAATCTTGCGATTGCGACTACGAAATTCATTATTTTGGCCTCAGAGCCTGAAGCGAAAAATACAAGCATATTTATTTCAAAAAGACTTCAGGTTTGTCGAACGGTGTTATGAGAATTTTGATAACAGTACTGCATAAGTTTTTCAGTGATGCCGCAAAAGTGTTGTATCTATCTTCTTTTATTGTGCAGTCGGCGGGACCGATTCAAAATTGAGTCGTTGCTACTAAAATAGCAGCATATGGCGACAGATGATGAACAGGAAAAATAGTTGCGTAAATTTAGACATAAACCACCCCCAAACCATGAATATCTTTTGAAGGCACTATAGACGACCATTAACTAACTAGATGTGATGAAGATCAAATGTAATGAATACGCTCATTTTACAAAATTACATGCAAGTACCAAAAAGTGATGTAAGTACTTATTCAACGGTCATTTTCAGCGCTCCCCGCTAACGTGACTTCAAGTTGAGATATTTGCGGCAAGGTACCGAATTGAGCAAAATGGTTTTAATTTACATTATAACTTGTTGTGTTTTGTCAGAAAATGGTCCTAACTCAGATTTTGTGGAAAAAGGTCATAATCTCCCTTTAAGAAACTGGTTTTTAGCATGCGGATGCACACACCGTCCGCTCCGCAGGCGGCTGAGTTCCGCATACTGAAAACTGTGCATTCGAGCTCACCGAGAGAGATAGGCCTCGGCTGAAAACCGCATGCGCCTACGCGTGGGAGCCGTGCGTTTGTACCTATATGTACCCGTGTTTTGGTTTCGGATCTCGGTAGCAATACGGGGGCCGACGGACACCAAAAATGAGTTTAGTTCGTCAGCAGTTACATCGGGTTGAACTGTTTTATTTTCTTTTTTTTTACCAGCTATGACTGATTTGATTCCCTGCCACACCTTGTTGGGGCCACGTTCGCTGATTTCCCACTGAATCACGTTGCGCCGGTCACGGCGAACGGCAGAACGAGCTGAACGATTCAGGTCTTTATAAACTGTAGATTCCCGCCCGGGCAGTCGTAGTGCGGCGCGCCGTTGGGCCATGATATCACGGTTGGAGGCTGAGACGGGGGGGGGGGGGGGGAGCGGTGGGGTTTCTAATGGTCAGGTTCTTTATGGGTTGATTAATTATTACACTCTATTATTATTTTTATTATTATTTATTATTATATTATATTATTGATTACACTCCATTATTGAACGCTTAAAAACTCATTCATACAACATGGCTGTTTTTGAGTTCGAGTCATAGGAGGTGGAAAAGTCAATACGAGGGGATGGTGACGCAATCAAGCACGCACAGAAACATACGCAGCCCACAAGCACGCATACGATCTAAAATTGGTCCAGTCGCCGTTTCATTTCACATTCCTTTTAAAAGCGCCCTGTGGTTGCTCCCTGACAGCGAGAGGCAGGACATTGAAAGCCTACACAGCACGGTACAATAATTTCCTTCGGCCGGACTCGGATGTTATTCGTTGATGTTTTTGTGTTTCAGACACGATGCTGTGGAGATGCGCCGCCAGGTGGCGTCGGCTGCCGGCTCCACGGCGTCCTTCAGTTCGACACGGGATGCGTGCACCATCGCCGGCGTGACCAGCTCCGCGGCCACACCGGTACGCCCCGCCTGGTTACTTGCGCTACGTGGTCTAGAATTGCTAAAAATTGAGTTCAAAAATTTGACGTCAATTTTGAACAGTTTTTTTCCGCTATAAATTGGCCAAATGGGAAGGAGGTATCGATCTAGAATTTGGTATGTAGACGGAAGAGGGTAGGGACTATCATATATATTCCGTTTCTGTTTTTCGAAATTTGAAAAACGTTTGGGATTTTTATTTGAAATTGTTTAACGGACTTTCACTGGGTAGTGGGTAAAAGTTATTATTGGTCCCGGTACTCCGACTTGTATTGAAAAGTCTTCGATGGGGCACACATAGGTTTAAAACCTATGTGTGCCCCATCGAAGACTTTTCAATACAAGTCGGAGTACCGGGACCAATAATAACTTTTACCCACTACCCAGTGAAAGTCCGTTAAACAATTTCAAATTCCGTTAAACAATTTCAAATAAGCATTTACCTGGGTATTAACTATTAAGACATGACTCTTCAGTCTCACTTAACGAGTTTGGGATTTTTTGCCATCTTATCAAAAACATAAATTTTGATTTTTGGTTCAAAATAATAAAACAATTGAAAATCTGAGATAGCAGTTTTGTAGCACCGTCTACACGACCATATAAAGAACTTTGAAATTGCTCGTTAACTGTAGCTTTTGTGAGCGTTTCAAGATTTTATTTTTTTGCTCATTTGTGCTCGAACATGGCCTCAGTTTGACCTCAGTAACTCCTGACCTAAGGTGACTTATGACTTGGAATTTTGTATGAAGGTGTAAAATTGATGTCTCAAAAGGTAGGGTGAAGTATAAGAGTACGCACTCAGTGGATTTCTTGCTCTCATATGTTCAATATTTGACAGGAAGAAATCGCAAGTATGGAATGTTAAAGATCATTAAATTAGCCATCAACCCATGAGGCAACGATCCTTCAGCGTAAATGGAAGTGGTCTAAAACTGACGTTTTCTGAACCGCTGCTGTTGCGTACTCTTACCACATGGGGTATGTATGAGTACAGGGTGTCCGAAAATTGTTTGCGCACTGTCTATATTCACGTATCTCGCACGTGCTCCCGTCAAACCGGTTAGGGAGGTTCGCGACCCCGCCCCCGGGCACCCCAGCGTGTCAGGTGATCACGTGACCCAGCAGGCGACCTGACCCCAGCCGCAGTGAGTGGCCACAGGTCGCTTTCCGAGAGGTAGTCTTCGCGCGCGGACCCCATATCGGGAATGGTGAGGGAGCACACTTTATCGACGCGCTACCGCGCGGTTGGGATGGTTGAAGCCGGGATGACGGTAGGCGATGTTGTCTGACAAGTGGGCGTAGCTCGCCGGACCCTTGATTACTGATGGGTCTCGCCCGCAGTGGTGCAGCACACTGCGGGAGAATCGCAAGGACCGTGGGAGAAAAACTGTGCTGAGCAGAGTGGCCAAAATCGTGCTCGCTAAAACCGTGCTGAAAAGACGCCAATCTACGCGGAACCTGGCCAAAAAGCTGACTGAGAAGGGTCAAGCGGTGTGGAAGACCACTGTTCACAACTACGTGGCCAAGTGCCTGGGTCTCAAACCGCTCAATCTGCGCCGGCAGCCAAAACTGGCCGAAGCCCAGAAGCGGAAGCGTCTGGTTTTTGCCCGGGAGCAGAAGAACTGGACCATTCAGGACTGGCGGCGCGTTTTGTTCAGCAATGAGTCTGTGTTCGAGCTCATGCACCCGCTGAATCGCCAGAACGAGCGCGTCTGGGCGCACAGAAGTGCTGAAGTGCCTGTCATCGACACGGTGAAGCAGCCGCTGAAAATCATGGTCCGAGCCATGATGAGTCATTCGGGCCTGTCAGAGCTCCACAGTCCACATCGTCCCCCGCGGTCAGACCGTGACGACCCAGTACTACGTGAAGGAGTTCTGAAGAAGTCTGCAGCGTCCGCGATAAGCGGAAGAGGCAGACGGGGGCGCCAACACAGGTCGAGCTGCTCCCGAAGATGTCCGAGGCGATCTTCCAGCAAGACGGTGCTTCAGCTCATCACGACGCCAGCACTCAACGGTGGTCCTGGGACAACCTCCCAGGGCTTTGGGACAAGGGTGTATGCTAGGCAACAGCCCTGACCCGTCTCCCATCGAGAACTTGCGGGCTATCGTGCAGAGCGAGCTCGACATGATGGAGCCGGCCACCACCGAACAGGCGCATATCAGAAACCTCCAGCGAGCGTGGCTCAGCATTAGCGCAGAGACACTGTATAACCTGATGTGTGGCATGCTCGACCGTATGAGGGAGTGTGCACGATTGTGTGGAGGATATATCGGTAAATAAACCATAACCCATGCATGTTTTGTTTCCTTGTACAGTCTGTCTTAAAAGTACCGCGCAAAGTGACGGTGGATCCATCAAGCCTGACCGATGAAGGACTGCTAAATTTGAGTCACCGAAGCAATGGACATCCTCGTCCCTTCCCCAGGTCAATTGGTTCGGTGACATTCAAATTATAGCAGGCCCTTCCTCGGTCAGGCTTGATGGATCCACCGTCACTTTGCGCGGTACTTTTAACCTTCGCCCCAGTGTGTGTGTGTGTGTGTGTGGGGGGGGGGGGGCATATGTTACCACCCTGTCGCGTTTTTTGCGTGTGAATATAAAACCGCGGTAGCGCCGCGCCGCTTGGGGTAGCTTTTTGCACATCAATTTTGGACAATGTGTGAATTTTTTGACCCCAGGTCATGTCAGGTCAGGTCACCAGGTCAAGTTAACTGACCAAGCCTAAAAAAGCTTGCAATCATGTCCAGCCTGCAGTGTTTGTCAGAGAGGTTTTAAACTTGGTGGATTGCATGATGTTATGGGTGCCTACAATTTTTATATCTCGGATTTTTTTATATGCGTGACCTAAGGTCAGGTCGGTGGCGTGACCTTTCCATTATAAGTCAATGGAGAAAAACGAAAATGCCTCTAGATTCGTGTGTACGCATAGGTACCGTGTGGTACCAACTATTTCAGAATCACAATGATTTGGACCACCCGCGACGACCAAGGTTTCGTTTTTGCTGATAGCCTCTAGAAAGGTCATCCGAGGTCATTTGAGGCTACAAACAGCTTTTTGCCAATAACTCTCGATTGGAAAGAGATAGAACGCTGGGGTTGGTCTTTTTGTGTTCGTCTTGCCGAGACGCATCGACTGATATGCAACATGACCTTTTTCGGTCAGGTCATGACCTTGACCTGAGGTCAAATTTTAAAGTTGACCTTTCAAGGTCAAATTATAGTTCATTCGACGCGTCTCGGCGAGAGGAACACGATTCTGGCAACAGAAATGTCCTAGCTTTTTTAGTAAAAAGTTATTTTCGAAAAAAACACTTTTCGTAAAAACAGCTATTTTTGGAGTTTTTGCCCTCTGGAGGCTAAACCGTTGACCTGAGGTCATTTTCGATGATGACTTTATCAAAAGATAAGTTCAAAAGCTATTGATTGCTTTCCCAGCGTTTTTCTAGCTATCATAGTTCCTGAGATAATGGCATGTTTTCTGAAAAATATAATGACAATTCGCTAATTTTGACCTTTGATGACCTCTGGTGACCCCAATATTGCTTTAATATGAAAATGATCGAATACTTTCAAACGCACGCATCGAGAGCTATCGACTGCTTTTTACCGGGTCTTTCTAGCCCTCTTAGTTTTTGAGTTAGAGGTGGGTGGTAACATATGCCCCCCCCCCCCCCACTAGGGCGAAGTTGGCTGAGACCGCCACTCAGACTTGTGCCAAGGTCCCAAAAAGGTCCGAGATCCAGGATCCGCAGAGTCCAAGGTCTGGGACTTTGATGGATCCTGGACCTTGCATTGTCATTTTTGTCGTGAGACCTTGGAAACCCAGGACCTTTACAATATTCATATGTCGCTTGGAATCCCAGGACCTCAACATTCGCATATGCCGCGAGACCTTGGAATCCCAGGACCTCAACATTTACATATCATTAAATGTTCATAAATATGCTTGAAAACCAATCGCTCAAAAACTTTTGAGAGACAGGCTAGGAGGCTTATTGGCCGATAATTCGATGCATCAGATGGCGATCCTTTGTTTTTAAAGATCGGTTTGATATTTGCAAGCTTCCAAGATCCTGGGAAGATTCCTTCATTTAGCGACTTATTGAATAAGCTAGTTAATGGCTCGGCAATGATGATAGCTGTGAGCTTTAAAATGTTAGCGGGGAGTTCATCTGGACCAGTTGATTTATTTGGATCTAGGGCATTTAGAGCTTTAAGGACGTCTTGATCGGTTACTCTAATAGAATTTAAGGTTGGGAAAGGCACTGGCTGTGGAGTCAACTGAGTTGCATGGGTGTCAGGGACATCAATATTTGATTGAGCTGCAAAACAGTTGTTGAGAAGTGATGCTTTATCCTTGCTCTCTGTAAATATCTAACCATCTGTTGTCTCAAGAGGTGGTATAGATTTATCTGGTTTCCTTCCAGTTATATTCCGTAGTGTTTGATGATACTTGTGTGGGTTTTGCTTGTTTTCTAACAAGGTTGACACTTGTGTCTGTATGTATTGTCGTTTACTTTGTTTTGTTATTGTTGTTGTTAAGTTGCGTTGTTCTTTCCACCTCCTCCAGTCATATTCAGTCTGGTTGTGCTTGGCTCTTTTAAACAGTCTGTCTCGTTTTCTGATTGCACGTTTAAGGTCAGCTGTCACCCAAGGTTTGTCTCTCTGTCTTATAGTCACTTTCTTGGCTGGTATTGCTTGGTGTGCAGCATTTAACAGGGTAGCCGTGAACTCTTCTATGGCCGTGTCAATGTCTTTTTCAACTATGTCATTCCAGTTTGTGTTCATAAGTGTTTGTGTTAATCGGTCAGCATTTAATTTGTCATATTCCCATATTGTCTTGTAAGTGTTCGATATTGCAGACAGTTTCATTTTCAATGATACAAATGTTGGAAAATAGTCTAATGTAGAGGATGGTGATAGGACACAACTGTCATTAATCAGTTGTGTATTATAAACAAAGCATAGGTCACGGA